ATCACTTAAGAAGCTTATTTCTTAACATTCCCTAGCCATATCTGAGGAGTTATTCCAGTGGCCAGAATCTCTCCAGACTAACTTACAGGGAAATTCATTAGTTCCCCAGTCCCTACCTGGCTTCCTCATCCATCTGGGAACATATACCCAAGATCCTCCAATTCTCAGCCTGTATCTACCTACATGTCATCACAAACCACTTTAACTGCCCTGTATTTACATCTCATTATTCCCAGTATATTCTAAACCTCAAAAAGCCTTCGGACAGAATGGAAGAAAAGAGGTACAACTCCTGACAGCAGGGTTCAAATTTATCCTGTGAGCCGAAGCTAGAAACTGGGAATAGGCCTGCCTATGACATTAGGTCTGTAAGTAAGGATAAAGAGACTCTGTCATGTGTTATTATGGGAAACAGCCTGTTTCTACTATCTTAACAGATGCAGATTAGCCTACAGAAAAGTTATGCTTGCCTTGTATTTTGTTTTGTTCTGTTTTCTAAGAGAAAACCTTCCTTTACTAGACTTTATTGCATGTTTTATGAGTCTGAACAGCTGGTCTTTAAACCACCTCTCTTTGAATGCTGTACCACTCTGACGGTTGGTTTCCGGCATTAAAAAAAAGAAAAAACAAAAGTGAGAGGGCATCACATTAGCAACAGTAATTGAGATACTCTAGTTATAGACTGAGTTCTGTTTGGGATTTACATGGACCAGAGAGTCATTTTATACTTGCTCAGCTCCAAGAATTCAAATGGCAATTTTAGGAATATGCCATTATGAGAAGGACATTGCTACTGGTAACTATGAAGGTGTATTGTTAGAACATGTTTAAGTTAGGAAGGTTTTATAGGCTTAAATGACGTGTTTTTTTCAACCTGTATTTGTTGGCACATTTGTACTATGTCTGTGGGACCATTTTGATATTCTCAATTATCCAAGGGTGGTTTATCCAGCTCAGACAGGCCCTAGCCAAAAAAAGGGGGGAGGCTAGGACCACGCCCAGGGAAGATTAAGATAACTGAGTGAATTTCTGTCTACTTTGAAACACATCTAAAGATAATTATGAATGTTTTACACTATAATTTACATAGTACCTTAATTGTGCACTTGACTCCCTGAGTAAAAATAAAAAGTGTTACATCACTCCCTCTTTCTCCAAAAACAAATCCTTGACTCCAAAAAAATGAGAGGAAATCTGCACTTCTACTATCTGAATGAACTATATGGTGAAATCCTTTGGTAAGGCAAACATTTATGCCCTATTGCATGTTTTATACATCTGAATTTCTATCAAACATACATGTAAGACATGAATGAGGGTAACATCTTTCTTAGATTCTACTAAACACCTGTAATTTCAGACATATTGCTTTTATGTTGTTTGTTTGCCATGACTACAAATATTATCACCAAAGTCATCCACATTTAAGTCAGTTAAACACTTTGGAAGGAGTAACTGCCTCTGGGCAAACTAATAATAGTTAGTTAAATGAGCTCTAATTAAAAAAAAAAGAGAAAGAAAGAAACTCTCCAAACTACAATCTCCAGGATCCCTGATACTATATTTTCTCGATTAAAGATTACGCTGTTCTGAAATAATATTTCCTGATCCCAAAGGTACAAAACTGGCAAGTAGCAGACAGTGAGCTTTGGATATCCAAGTCTGCTCTCTGGTGGACAATACAGGAGCGTTACCTGCTTCTCACAAGATGCGCTTGACATTTAGGACACACATACAAAAACACTGTACATTGAACATAAGTCATTAGAACTGAATAAAATAAGAGCACAACCATACTCCTCAGAATATAATTACATACGGAAAAACCACAATTTGCCCATTTAGGGAAATGTGTCTGTGACTTTAACTGAAATTTCCCACAGTTCTACTATGACACACATGGATTGCCATGAGTCAATTTGGGGGAGGGTGGGAATTGGAAGAATGGAAAACAGGACAGGAAGACTTTTCACTATATACCTTTTCATATTTTTGATGTTTGAACCATCATTACCTATTCAAGAAATTAAAAAATTTTTTAAATCAAAGAAGTCTTTAACATAAAAATACAGATAACTAGGCTCCATTTCTAGGGAAAATGGTTTTGTAGGTCTGAGACAAGAGTAGGCCTATATATTGCTTCTAAGAGCTGAGAGCTACTGCTATAGAATTTCCTAAGCCAATCATACTGGCTTCCTGTCCCTTTTCATGGCACTGACAAATAATGCATTTGGTCTTTGTTTTATGTTTGGTTTTTAATAGAAAACATTTTAGTAAAGAATGCATTATTAAGAGGATCTGGAGGCTAAAAGAAGAGTAGAAACACTGAAAATCACTGCATTTCCAGATCTGCCTTGTATATCATTTCACCAAGCAACCTGCACTTCTCTTAGAAAGAATGTCTTTAGCATAAACACATTTCATTCAAAGTTAACCGAGTTTCATGGCTATTCATTTATGTCACCATTTTAACTTGCCCATAAGGCTAGGCAAATCACAGGTACTAACTGGTGGTTTTCAAACCAAAGCTAGACTCTTCATTACCAAAGAAAGTCAGGTTCAATAAACAGGAGTCATACAGGGGGCTGTAAAAATCTAAAAACCTACCACACAGACTCTGTAGCCAACAGTTTAGGAAAAAGTCATTAAGTAAATGATCCTATAAAACATCTTGACTCAGGACTTAGTAAAGTGATGCCCTATTTGTCCCAGGTGGGGGTAGGGAAGGAAAGATATGTGAAGTATTCTGGCCCTAATTCTTATCTGTCACTTACCATCCTCTACCAATCCCACGGTCAGGATATGGATCTTATATACATCATTAATCCACAGATCATGAGGGCAAACATCAAAGGCCAACACAGTGCTTATGCAGGGGCCCTTTTCTGTAACTGTTCACAGAATCTTCACCCCAACTGCACCCTATCTAATGATAAATGAAGGCAAAACATGCAAAATATGATTTCAGCAAACGAGATCATTCCAAAGCGGGAAGGGAAGAGAACATTTACTAAGCTCCTGCTATGTGCCAGGCACTACAGCTTGCATTCTTATGTTTAATTTTTTATTAGACCCTTACAAAAACCCAGTGAGGAATATATTTTAACTCCCAAACTGAATCTCAGGTTAAGTTACTTTTCTAATATCACAGAACTGTTAAATGGTAGAGCCAGAACTCAAACCCATGTCTATTTGGCTCCAAAGCTTGTTTTTTTCCTACTACACTAAGTAAGACACCACTCTTCAGTAAAAACGTTTAAAAAGTAAAAACCAAAAAAAAAAAAAAAAACCCCAACTGTCAAGTCAATTCCAACTCATAGCGACCCTATAAGACAGAGTAGAACTGCCCCACAGAGTTTCCAAGGAGCGGCCCAACGCTTGACCATTGCGCCAGGAGGGCTCCTGAGGAAATAAAGAAAGGGTAAATATGAGATTCTTAAAATATATTTGGTAAAATGAAACCACTGCATTCATCCCCTCAACAAATATTTATGAAACAGCTAGGTATCAAGCATTGAGCTAAACATGTTACACATGAACAGACTTGCGAGTTTAAGGAACTTGTCTGAGGACATATGGCTATTAAGTAATGAGATTAGAACTCAGACAGTCTGCCTACAGAGCCCATATTCTCAACTACTCCACTATACTGCCTCTCAAGAACTTAAAGGGAAACATGAGGGAAGCATCAATGTTTTCCACTGCAGTGAAAAAAAACAAGGCCATTTTAATTACACACAAACGATCTCGAAAGGAGACTATTAGTTAAACGGTTCCTGCTAATAGGCCCACTGGTTGAAAAAGGGAAATGTTTGCTCTTGTCTCAAAGCAATTTCAGTTTTATGCAGATTCATTCTGGACTATGGATATTATCATGTAGTAAAGATTCTTCATTGCTTTGGTAATAAATAATATCACCTTATACTTGTTTAATGCTTTAAGTTTTCCAAAATGCTTTCATATACATTATTTTAACAGATATAACCATCAATAGCTCCCCAGCTTTATTCCTATCGAATAAAGCCAAAAAGTTTTGGCATCTACCTGAGATCCCTCACAGCTCTGCTTTTCTAGCTTAATTTGCTACTCCATAAAATGTATGCTTCAGCAACACTATCTTCTGAAGGCTCCACCTTTATTTATGCTACTGTATATACAATTCCCCTATTATCTACCTGGTAAATTCCTACTGTTCTTTCAATAGCTGGTCCAGATATCTTCCCTGTGAAGCCCTGAGGTCACGAATTAGTCATTCTCTCCTCTATGACCCCTAAATTCTTTTTACACATCTCTAGCGTAAATTTATATAATTATTTACGTGTTCCTTTCCCCAGGAGGGTGAGCTTCTTGACAGTATAGACTATGTCATTCTCATCTTCTATCCCCGGTGCCAAACTCATAGAGGGTATTCAATATTTATGAAATGAATAAATGAACAACTGAATTACAGGCTCTCCCCAGGCTATGAACGAGATCCATTCCTAAGTCTGTCTTTAGGTCGAATTTGTACGTCAGCCAGAACAGGCACACAGGGTTCTTATTTAGGGTCAGTTAGTCAAATGTCTGTCTTAGTATATAGTATATATTTTACCTTTCTGTGCACATAAAACACTTAAGAAGCAATTCTAAACCGTGCAATGTTTTCATGAGCATCACAAAGTAATGCATGCATTCGTTATTATGAACCACGGTACTTAACTCAAATTTTTAATATAATAGGCTTTACGACAGTCCACCTTAAGTATGAGTTGTCCATAAGTCGGATGTTCGTAGCTCAGGGACTGCCTGTATATAGACCACTAAACTGTGAAACAGAAGACCTAAGCATAAGTTCCACACTAAAATGCAAAGTGAGTTTACACCTCAGTTTTTTCAGCTATAAAATAAGTAATTCAGTTCAACATTTATTGCAATGACTACACTTCCCAATCAGTTTAATATATGGGAATATTCTGAGAGTTCTTCAGAAGAGTTACAAAAATCCAAATAATTGTTATTACCTCCTCCATCATGACATCCTGTGTGGCTGAGATTTCTCCTTTGGTTGCTCCACAGTGTACCAGGTTCCTCAGTCGTATACAGAATTCTCTCATCTGTAACAAAAATTTATTTAGCACTCCAGTATTACCCAAATTCAAATGTTCTATTTTAAGTACAATTCAGTCAAGACCCAGGGCAAAGTTCATAAAAGCAACTGTGTTTTTCCCCAACCAGTCCACTTAAACACATAAACACTTCCCATGAGCGGAAAAGAAATGGATTATCCCAGAAGAGTACTAGATGGAACTATTCCCTGAACAAGCAGGCATTGCTCTCCAACTGAGAGTATGCTCTGTGACAGTATATGCCTGCGTATGGGAAAAACAGCTGATTTCATAATGCCTGGAGTCCCTGGGTGGTGCAAACGCTCAACATGCTTGGTTGCTAACCGAAAGGTTGGAGGTGTAAGTCCACTCAGAGGCACCCTGAAAGAAAAGCCTGGCAATCTACTTCAAAAAAACACTCTAGCTATTGAAAACCCTAAGGAGCACAGTTCTACTTTGACACATTTGTGGGGTCGCCATGAGTCAGAATCGATTCAACAGCAACTTGGTTTTCCACAATGCCTATCACCCTTAGAAAAAACAGGAGACTTAATTAAGATAATCGTGCCACTATATCACTCTAAGAGGTTTTTACTTGGATTTTTATTAGTTGTCCACTTCTTTCTCTGCCACATAACTATGTCAACTCCCAGTGATTGTTTCATTTTGCCGCTTTTAAAAGAATACATTATGTCTAAAATAAAAATGAGTCTCAATTTATCTACAGTGCAAAAAGGATCTTGCCTCCACTCAAAATGGAATCCAATGCTATACTATTAATGATCTTTTAGCCTTTGGATAAAAATTCCCAGAGTTTCCTGGGCAGAAATAACCTAATTCTAAGGTTGAGAAAATAAATCTACAGTTTATTTAAAAAATGTAATCTTTCTACTAGAGTTGACAAATCCAACTTTTGCCTCAGAGATCAGGACAGCCAAGTTCTGGCAAATCCCAGCTCTCAAAAAAAAGGTGTCTGATTGGCAGAGTGGTAACTGTATCGGATTTATAATCCTCCTTGGAAGAATGAGTTATGTAGAGAAGAAAGAATGATTCATTAAGATAACTGAAGTACTAAAAAGCTGTACAGTGATTATACCAAACTTCAATGAGTGGATAAAAATTAATGTGGTTTGGAGAAGTCTCTTTTCTGTCTAGTACACTCAGCATAATCTTTAAGGAAGTCTCACAAACACTTCCTTTTAGTTTTATTAGTACATAAAACTGCCCCAGCCCACCTCCACAAGAACTAAATGAGAGACATAGCACCCAGTGTGCTTGTGGCCTATATTAATTGAGCATGTCATAATATACTGGACTTTTCTTTCCCAAGTACTCATAGAAAACACTAAACTCACCAGAAATTAAGTGGAAGATTAAAAAAAAAATCCCTAATTCTAATTATCTTGGAAGTTAATATGTATCAGCTACATTACTATTGAAAGAGGTCAACATTAGTTGCTATCTGGTACACAAACTGTGTACAATGAAAGGCCCAGGAACCCCTTTTGAAAATCAGATAAGTTTAAAGAAGGTGAGTACACTAAATTCAATCCCACTCTGCTCCATATACTGTACCTTGTGGTTCAGAATTTCGTTCATCCTTCTACTTGCCTCTGTTGTATAAGATTCAGGGAAACATTTCTTAGGAACAACACCATATTTTTCTAATAGGAAAAAAAAAATAACAGTGCTCAATTAAGGTTCAAGTATACTCCAGCATTAAAAACTCTGGCAAAAATAGCTATTGCTTAGCAACAACCAAAAAAAGGCCGTATTTTACTGTTCTAATTCAGAAAATAATTTAAGCTTCATATTATTAAATAGGTTACTTATTCTGTGTACAACTACTCCCCACTTATCGACTATCTCGTTATCTGACATGTTGCATTTACGACAATAATAAAAAATCTACTATCTAACTATTTTGTGCATTAACATACATCTGGCAGTAACGAACGCTGAGGTGTGACGGTTAAGGTTATGTGTCAACTTGGCTGGGCCATGATTCTCGGTGGTTTGGCAGTTATGTAATGATACAGTCCTCATTTTCACGTAATGCCCATTTTCACGTAACAACCTGGTCTTGGAACCTAACCTTGTCAGTAAGTGAGGAGTGGGTGTATTTATCCATCTTAAAATTAATTCTGTTCTTTTTATTTATCATACTTTGTAAAGTGCTCAGCATGATGAGTCTTTCCAAAAAGAAAACTTTTTTGAATGAGGACATTGTTAGACGGCTGCAGTTTCAATATACTTCCTGATTACATCCATGGACAAGCAGAAGCTTTTTCATGGAAAGTTAGTTCTACTTATTGCTATCTTTTCTTCTCCAACCCAACTTCCCAGTACCTATCTGCCCACCCCTGATGTAAGAAACGTACTTTATAGTTGAAAGTGAGAGCGAAAGCAGAGTGGAGATAAAGGTTCTCCTTCTGGGAGACCAGTTCTGCTCTTTACATAACCACAGACGAAATGGCTTACACCTAACTGCACAGCCTTGCTTCATCATGCTGAGCTTCAGTTTCTTGAGAGAATGGCTCTTACCAATAATATTGACAAGCATATCCCATTGTCCACCGTCATTTGCAGGATTCGTAAGCAAATACTGCACCAGCCTCCCATCCTCAGGCTTCTTTTTCTGGGCTGTGTCCACAAATGCATTTAAGAAGAAATAACAGCGTTCAACCTAGAATAAGGCAAGTTAAATAAAATTAGAAGAAAAGAGAGTCAATAGCTTAATTGGTATTATCAACAGAACAAGTATCTGGGAACTACTGTGGACCCAATATAATAGGTATTTTTTAATCAAAGTTGATTATTTGAATATCAGTTTCTGGCTTCATGAGAATATTTGAATTTCTTCTTATGCATATATATATACTCAAATAGTTTGTTCAGGACAAAATACTGCTTTGTTTTGAAACAGAATATGATACTTAAGAGTCTTCAATCAATAAACACTTAATGGACACTTAGTGTGCTTTAAAGATTAAAAAATAGAATACAATTATTTACTATTTTTCAGACAAGTACTACCTAGAGAAGGGGAATTAGGTCCTAGAAAGACCAAATAATCTACATACACTAGAAAAGGAAATTACTGAAAACAAGACAAGGAAAAAAAAGAAACAAGCAAGCAGCAGAGTGAGTCAGTAGACTTACTACTTGGTTGCAAAAAGTAGCCAAATACCAACCAAAAGCAGTCCTGCCTTTGGAAAGCATCGACTTTTGACACTTTGGAAATCAGAATAAATGGTGTTCCAACTAAAATGGAAGAGCAAATTACAACTGAAGAAGCAAGAAACGAAGAGGCAATCCCTGTCAAGATTGGTACTGAAATAAAAAGAATCTTGCAAGACCAGTCCCATACCTTGTCCCAGAAAAATACGTAAGATTGACTGAACTCAAATTCTTCAATATTTAACATTTTCATGAATGGAAGTCTCATAACATTCAGACAAGAAAAGATCCAGCATCGCCCTGAAACAAGAAAGCAAACCAAGAAATTAAGATGAGTGTTCACATAGATTACATTTCTCCCAATGTATTTCCCAGCACTGAACCTGTGATAAGATCCTGGACAATTCAAGACTAAATCAAAAAGAGCAGGAAGATTAAAAAAAAAAAAAAATTAAGAAAGGTAGTAATTACCATCCTCAATATACATGCAAAGGCTTAATATCCTTAACATATTAAAAAAAAAAAAAACCCTTTACATATCACATAAAGAATCACATTACAAATCACCCAAGAAAATCACATTAGAAAAGAGAAACACTGCTAGAGAAACATGAGCAGAGATCAGTAATAGATCATTCAATGGTCAGAAGAGATAAAAACGACAAAAAACCATTTTTTAAAGTTCATCATAAGACACCTGGAAATGGGGAAATTTTTTTCTTTTTTTTAATCAATAAAACCCAATACTGGATTTGGGGAATAAGCACTGTTATACACTCTGGATAGGGACTAGGGATCTAAATAGGCACAAAATATCTGAGGACAATTTGGCAATACATAAAACCGAAACCAAAGCCGGTGCCGCTGAGTTGATTCTGACTCATAGCGACCGTACAGGACAGAGGAGAACCGCCCCCATAAGGCTTCCAAGGACTGACTGCTGGATTCGAACAGCCAACCTTTTGGTTAGCAGCTGAGCTCTTAACCACTGCACCACCAGGGCTCTGGCAATACATAACAAAAGCTTCAAAAAGTCTCTACCCTTTTATCTAGAATATATAGGATATATTTGAATATAAGATGACCCTTACATAAGTCAATTCCCCATTCTCCCAATGATTAGCCAAAAGAAGGATGATTTTGTCTAAGCAGATTATATAAAGGAGCCTTGGTGGTGCAGTGGTTAAATACTCAGCTACTAATCGAAAGGTCAGCGACTTGAACCCACACATAGCTTCATGGGAGAAAGATGTTGCAGTCTGCTTCCATAAAGATTACAACTTTGGAAACCCTATAGGGCGGTTCTACTCTGAGTGTACTGATTTAAGTGATGTTTAAACGGCCTATGTACAATGACATCTAACATTTCCATTTGTGAGGTCATGTCCTAGGAACATACTGTGTTCAAAATATTTACCTTTTTGAATAACCGATTCTATCAAAAACAATCCTTTTAAGAATCCAAACAAGCACAGACTGAGGTCATTTCAGAGTAACATCTTTGCCAAACTGTACTTTGTTTCAAAATAAATAACTGACAGTGACCATTACAAGTCTTTGTAAGGCCTCAAATATAACGTAACTCTCTTTTCTGAAGGAAAATTCAGAGGGAAAAATCTCGCCTTATATGTGGGTATAACTTTTTTACTGATGAGAAAGTATGTTCACAATGTATTGATAAGTGAAAAAGGTAGGTAGATTACCTAACAATGTGTAAAGTATCAACCCATATTAAGCACGTATGCATGTATATGTGCACACACACAAAATAATGACCTAATATATACATAGTAAAATGTTATCTCTAGGTAGTAATATTTGCTTGTTGGCTTTTTCAAATATTCTAATTTAACAATAATTTTATAATAAAATTTTTTTTAAAGTAACTAACTATAGTGTTTTCCGAAGGTCGCCGAAGGCCTGCCTTAGCACAGTTCGTCTTTACTTGGGTTTACCTGTATGTCACCTCTCTCCTGTCCACTATGTATTTCTAGCAGAAGGAATCTGGGTGAACTGTTTATCTGAAAACTGCATGAAAATAAACTGCATAGCTCCTGTGCTGTTTGTCTCTTTTGTATATAAAGCTGACACTGCAGAATGTACAAGGTCTGACCTGTTCCAGATTAACATTTCAAGGCTTTTCTCTAAGAGGTCACTGTAACCTACATAGGACCATTGTGACATTACCGAGTCATTTGTTGCCCAACATGCCACATCACCCGAAGTGCATCTACTATAGCAAAACACTAATTATTGCAAAGGCGTGTTTTTTTTTCCCCTTAAAATTTAAAAATCAACTTTACTGAGGTATAATTTACATATAAAAAAACATACTCATGTTAACTGTGCACATTATGAGTTCTGCCTAGCCTGAAGCAGGCACTGGTCTGCTTTCCGTCAACAGATACACTGGAAGTGATTTGTAAAATGGATAATGACTTTAAAAAATCGTTTTAGTACAATTTGATTATGAAGCTGTCCTCCTTGTTTAGACTCCTGAGTGAACAATCTTTCACTGTAGCTGTTTTTCTGACAATGGTGCTAGATAGAAGGTAGCAAAACAGGAGCTTTTAACCAATAAGGCATGAGAACCGAAATTTTTTCTCTATTACAAACTGGCCTATTGGGGGCGGGGGGTGGAGAACAGAGCCCATTAGCACATTAGCTCAAGTTGTAATCCAGAACCATATTTAAAAATAACACTTTGATGACATTTCGGTCCAATTACATCGTGTCTTTTCTATTTCATCCATCTGTATATGGCCTTCGAGGCGATTCTGTAGAGTCCTCTAGGACATGAACATTTTTGTGTGGTCCATTTGTTACCACAAGCATATATCCACGAGACAAGAAACTGCAATCACTTAATTTCAGGATAGGATAATAAATTACACTCAAGCAAATGACCACGGACTTGTCACTTTCGTGCTCAAACCGAATGTACTAACCAGCCACAGAGTATTCAAACAAGTGACAGGGATAATGTTTTTAGACCTGCCTATATCTGTGTCCGTTTTCTAGGCATTTACTACAAGTTCTGTCAATACAAACCTCTGTTTTCCTAAGTTTAAGCTCTCACCTGAGCTCTTCTGGTTGGTGACTGGCTTGCCTTCCTGAGGCACAGAGTGTTGGAACACATGCTGAGTAGCCTGCACAGTGGCCCTCTTCAGACAGAAGTCCAGCACGTCGTGGGTGGTCCCGACATTCTGGGCAAGTACGAACTGAGGATCAGAATTCAGCTTCTGAATCAGAGCAGCTACCTTCTCCGAATTCAGCCCTGCTGGAAAGTCAAACGGGATTATAACACCAAAAAGAACCAAAGAGGATTGTTTAGCTGGGACTCCCACACCCAACGTCTAACTTTGTTTAAGAGCATCCTGAGGTGACCTCTGCAGCGAGGAAGCCCTTTACCCGCGGCCTCCCCCAAGATGCTGTCTCGCTCCAGGCTGCTCCAGTCCAGCTCCATCCCCGCCATCGTCCCCGGCTCCAGTCCCCCGCCTTTCCCCGCGCCGGGCCTCGGACCGAGCTGAGTCCCCGAGACGACCCCGCCAGGGCTCCGGCGGAGAAAAGCGGCGCCTCACCTGCGTCGTTCATGGCGCCACACTGCCCAACAAAGTAACAGTAGCTTTCGTGGTCCTCGGATGAGCGCCGGGATAGTACTGCGGATCGCTGCCTAGCCGGCCCGATCTGCCTATCTCACCCGGAACGCCGCAAAGAGGAAACCGGCTTGGTGGCGGCAGGAGGGCTGAGGCCGACAGAAACGGGGTCCGCGGAGGGACAAAACTTCCCCCTCGCGTTGCTGAGTCAACAACTTGGGGGCGAGCCCCGCCCCTCCCCGGGGAGGACCAACGGGGGCCGACTCACTGACGCGCGGAGGCGGGTTGGCGCCCTTCCTTAGGGCCCGACCCGAAGCTGCTGGGGCACCGGCTACGGACTGCAGGTTGGTCCGGTGTTGCCAACTGTCTGCCTTGGCGGTGTCAGCGCTCTTGCCCAACTGTGACTTCGCTTCTGGGAGGGAGCTGAAGGGTTCCATGCTGCCATGCTTAGTCCAGATCACGAATACTCTAGCGTGGGGGATGGAGCTGAGGGGCCCCATAATTAAATAGGGGGCTCAGGATGGGTTGACATGTTACAAAAAAAGCCTCCAGAGGCTTTTCCTATGCACATCTATTGCTAACCAGTCGCTGCATTTTCAATGGCAACTTTTAATTTTAATCAGAACCAAGTTCTCATATTTGAGGAGAAATGTGAACCTACCTCTCTACCACCTACTCCCAAGCTACTACCACAGTTCTACAAATACACATCTGCTCAATTTGTGGTAGTGTGGTGGCTTGAGTGTTGCTATGATGTTGGAAGTCATGCCACAGGTATGTCAAATACCAACAGGGTCACCCATGGTGGACAGGTTTCAGTGGAGCTTTCAGACTGAGACAGACTAGGAAGACCTGGTATCTACTTCTGAAAATTAGTCAATGAAAACCCTATGGATCACAATAGAATATTGCCCAGCATTGTGCTTTGAAGTTCCTGGGTAGCACAAACGGTTAAGTGCTCCACTACTAGCTGAACACTTAACAGTTCTAACTCATTCAGAGGTGCCTCGGAAGACAGGCCTGGCAATCTGCTTCTGAAAGGTTACAGCCTTGAAAACCCTATGGAGCAGTTCTACTGCATACATGGGGTTGTCATGAGTCAGAATCAATGGGACAGCAACTAACAACAACATCAACAACATGATGAGCTCCTGAGATTGTCAGAAGGCGCTCAAAATACACAATGGCTGAAAAAATGGACTTGAGCGTACCAACCATTGTGAAGATGGCACAGGATCTGGCAACATTTCATTCTGTTGTACATGGAGTACCCATGAGTCAGAGCTGACGCCACAGCAACTGACAACAATAACATTTCAAGAAAACTACCCGTTCTGGGCTTCATGAAATCCAAGTGCCTCCTAGCTAGCTCCGCATATACTGTGGGGTTTAGCTAAAGGGAATGACAGAGGTCTCAGGCCCTCTACGAAACCTACAAATGATGCCCCCCTCCAGGCTTTCAAGATAAGGGCATTTTCCAAAGTTTTGAGATTGTAAATTTCTTTTGCATTGTTTTTCGTGCCCTGAAATTTCAACCCTTGGTGATAAACACAAACCTATCTGCTTTAACACCAAAAACACTGACTCTGCTACTCAGAACAGCGAGAATCTTTTGTGGAAGCTAGAATCTAGGTCCTAAATTGAAAATCATCGTTGGTTCTTAGGAACTCTGGTATCTGGGAAAATCCACACTCAAATGCCAATCAGTCATTTGAGAAATCAGTCACGTCCCTAGAGAGACCTAGCTAAAATTCGAGGATACAACAATAGCCACCATCTCCAATTTAAAAAGAAAAAAACACTAAATTTGTTGCCATCAAATCGATTTGGACTCATAGTGACCCTGTAGGACAAAGTAGAACTACCTCATAGGGTTTCCAAGGAGCCTCTGGTGGATTTGAACTGCTGACCTTTCAGTTAGCAGCCGAGCTCTTAACCACCGAAGAAAAGGAGTAGCATGAACAGTTATACTAAAAGAAATCATTGGCCCTTTCACAAAATAATGTTCAAGCATGCTGCCCAGTTGAACACATGTATTGTTGTTTGGTGCTGTCCACTAGATTCTGGCTTATGGTGACTCCATGTCTGCAGAGTAGAACTGTGCTCCAGAGAGTTTTCAAGGCTGTGACCTTTTGGAAAAAGATCTCCAGGCCTATCTTCTGAGGTGCCTCTGGGTGGGTTCAAACTGCCAATCCTTGGGCTGGTAGTTGAGCGCTTAACTGCTTGCTCTACCGAGGGACTCCAATTCAGTACATAGAATTCATAAAATTTTATTCAATATCTACCATATGCTAGGCACTGGGCAAGCTGTTGATATAAAGACTAACAAAGCTTAATCCTGCCCCTAAGAAACTCGCAATGTAGTGAGAAACAGATGCAAAACGACTTTTAGACAATCTATACTGTCATGCCACTCATGCTGTAGAAGCAATGAGGAGCATCAAAGTTGAAAAACTGCATAAGAGGTGAAAAGTATCATCTTGAAGAGTGCATGGGATTTTGTAAGGCAAAGAAGCAGAAGTGCATTTGAGGCACCATCGAAGGCACAGAGATATTAAAGCACACAGCAAAATCATGGTTAAGAAACTGCAGCATAGCCTGATGTGGTTAAGAGCAAGGAACATGTCAGGAGCAGTGGCAAGGGGTAGGACTGGAAAGGTAGGTTTGGGCCAGGATATGAAAGTTTTATGTGCCATGCTTGGGCATCTGGACTTTTTCCTATGGGTAATTAGAAGCCCAAATATGTTTTTAATCAGAGGAGCAATATGCTCAGATCTATGTAAAGAAATTGGTGGCGGTGGGGAAGATGATTGGGTGGGGAGAGGTTCTGGAGATAGGGAAATGAGTTAGAAGGCTATGCCACTAGTGTGCTTAGGAGCAGATGAAAGCCTTAAATTGTAGAAAGGGAAGAGGCACAGATAATCTTGAGCATTTTCAGTGGAACGGAAGGATAGATGTTGTCGTAATTAACCAAGAGAGGGAATACAGAATAGTAGGCATGTTTGAGAGTATGAGAGTGTGTAGATAATCAATTCAGTTTGGGCCATGTCAAGCCCACAGGACACCCAGGAAGAGAAGCCCAGAAGGTAGATGAAAAGATGTCTAGAGCTTAGGTTGTAAGACATTTAGGTTGTTATAGTTGGAACCAAGAAAATCAACAAGGTTGCAGAGGAAGTGACGGTAGAGTAGAAAAGAGATGAGGATTATGCGCTGTGGTGTACAGTTTTGCAGGGTGTTCATGCAGAAGGGCACTGGGCTGAGTGGGCTGAGGGAGGCTGAAATCCAGTCCAGGCTCTGCTTGCCAGGCCTTGCACCCTGGCCCAGGACTGTGCTCAGTCAGAGTAGGTTGTTGTTGATGTTGTGAGCTGTTGAGTGGATTCCAACTCAGAGCGACCCAATAGGACAGAGTAGAACTGCTCCATAGGGTTTCCAAGAAGCAGCTGGTGGATTCGAACTGCCAACCTTTTGGTTAGCAGCCGTAGCTCTTAACCAAGTGTACCTTTTAGCCCTGGAGAGGGAGACATTTAAAGAGTAGTGAAGACAGGGGAGCCAGCGGAAAAAGACAGAAAGAGAAGTCAGCAAGATATGAGAAGACCTGGAGAATTATATCCTGGAATCCTAGGAAGGCAAGGAGAAGATGGTGAAAGCTGCAGAAAATATATGCCAGAGAGGCTGCAATTGTGAGAACAAGAGCCCAGGAAAATAGGTAAGGATGGAATCACTGGGAAGGTAGAGGGGAGCAGTTTCATAGCTACTGCCACCCTTTTCCTGCCAGCAACTATGTTTCCCCACCCTGTTGCCACAGATTCCTAGCATCATCTCTTTGCCAGATCTCCTGCTCTGCCCCAGTTGGGAGGGTATCACCCTTAGTACCGGTTTCCCACCCAGCAATTCACACCCATACACTCAGCCCCCATGTACGTACCAAGAGGAGGTACACAAGACAACTGTTTTCCCAGTGTGTCTGCCCCAAATGACTCACCCAAGAAAACATTTCCCCAAGAAGAGAACTCTTAGGACCTACCCCTGCAACTCCAGCCAAAAGAGATGTTGCAAGGTCCAGTGATATTTCAGTGGGACAGAGAATTCTGGTATGAAATCAGCAATATTAGAAAACAAAATCTTTATAAATCCTGTGAAGCAGAGCCATCTACCATTGTAGATATGCCTTCTGCCTATTGCTTTCCTAGGGCTCCATCCAGTTAAAGTGAATAGGGCCAGTCTTGAGGCAAATTATGAGGCTTTTCTCCATCCTGGGCCCGCCTACTCTAATGTCCATCAGTCTTTGACACATGCTGGTCAACTGGTTCTACTCTGATGGAAAAGACCAGATTTTTATATTGGATGGAAGTCTGGACTAGAATCTAACACCAATACTCTGCAAGTCTATGAAACTTATTCACACTTAAGTGTTACCACAATTAACATAGAAATTTGCTTTGGTCAGAAAACCCTCTGTAGTCTCTCCAGAGCTGATGGTGAACTTCAGAGTTCACAAGTTGGTGGCCTGCTTGGCTAAATTCAGCTCCTGGATGTTCTGTTTGTCTTGCATGGTGTTTTAAAATTTCTGAGCCAATATTTAAAATTGGGAAATTTTGTATACAAATCTGGGTTTCTGGCTTCATTTTGAAAATATCAGAAGACCTGATAGCCCTGGGCCTGCTATAGCTGAGCAGCAGCTGCCTCCTTTGGATGGGGCATGCACTCTACAGCTCACTACCCCTCCACTCCTCTCCATTGTCCCCTCAACAGTGAGGCCAAGTATCTGTGGCTGCTTGTCACCAGGCTTGCCTTGCATTGCTATTTTCCTATGTTGGTCGTTTCTCCATCAAAAATGAGAAAATGAAAATCAAGTCAAGAGAGCATCTAGCTTGCTTCAGTCATTTACACTTATTGCCAGGAGATATTTGAGTTTTTCATTTCCTGACTTAGAGTGACCTGGATGGAGTTTGGGAGGGCTGTTTATCCTTTTCCACTTTAATCTCACCCTTATTCCATAATTCCTGCTTCCCTGGGATGAATGAGCAAAGCAAAGCAGGAGCTGACCCTGCTAACGATCTTGGGTCTTCCTGGCCCAGGGTAGCCTATATCCCTTCACCACAATTTTCCTCC